TGAATACCACCCTCATGTTTGCACGATAACTATAAATCCGCCAGTTAGCTTAGCACAAAGACTGTCAACAAGGGGAGAACAGCTAGCCTGTCTCTGTCCCAAAGTGTATTTCCCAAAATTGCAGACTGTGACTAAAACATTTACATATCCTAACATGTGTGTTTTATTCAAAGCAGGAATTGTTTGGAACAAATGGCATCCACACATGTAAAGTATGCATTTAAGATCAAATAAGAAGATATCTTTTGATCCACATATGGGAAATGCAAGTGTCTTAGCATCAACAGCAACAAGGGGGGAAAAGCACAGGATTGGACCAGCCTTTTAATTCACACAAGGATATGAATATGAATATGAATAGTAATAGAAGTAAATAAATGTAATGAAGTGTAAAAACAATTACAGTATAACTTAAAATGAAGGTGTTTATATATATATACAGACATGTTTAATTATGGGTGTGTTCAATATATGTACATTTAAATTTGGATGTGTGAGTCCAGGTAGTTACATTATGGTGCACATACAGTGCAGGTTGTCAAGAGTTCATGGATTTCAATGATGGGGTCAAGCCATTATTGTGGAAAACATTTTTGAAAAAAATGTATGCAGTGTGTATGATTAAGAGCTAAAACGTCTCAAATCACTGGTTGGCTCTTTAAATGTTCACCCACACCAAATCATGGCATCATATCACCCCGGTCCTCAAAGAACTCCACTGGCTCCCCGTTTCACACCGCATCCACTACAAACTCCTGGTCCTTACAAAGCCCTCCACCATCTGGCCCCCCCTACCTCACTGACCTCCTCATCCATCTACCCAACCCCCTCGTTCCCTCAGATCCACCTTCAGCCGGTTTGCTTTCCATCCCCAAGGCCCAAACTCCGGAGCTTCGGGGATAGAGCCTTCTCTGTGGCAGCCCCGAAGCTCTGGAACTCCACTCCCCCAAGACCCTCCGTGAGTCTGAGTCCCTCACCCTGTTCCAGTCCCGCCTCAAGACTCATCTCTTCAACTCTGTCTATCCATAAGCGCGCGTGCCCCCCACCGCAATCAACTTCCTCCTGACTGCCCTTTCTGTTTATCTTATTTTATCAGTTTTATTCATTTATTGTTTTGTGTTTTTGCCTGTCCTTGTCTGTATACCCTCCCCCAGACTGTAACGCATCTTTGAGTTAGAGAAAAGCGCTATAGAAATATAATTTATTATTATTAAATGGTTACCTTCTCAAAACAAAGGCAGTAGTGTCTTTGAAATTATCTTTCTCAAGTGCAAACATCTCTTTCCAAAGTGGATTAACAGGAAGGGGATTCAACTCTATTTTGGGAACTGTCCTTTGTGTCTTTGAAGCAAAACATATCAAGATGGATGTCTGACAATATTGTGGAATAGAAAGCTGGAAGAAAATGCAATTTCATAGATTAACTCCCAACTGCTGAATTTTCTTCTCTATTAGCGTGCTGGAACAGATGACTCCACCCTGATGAGGATTATGGTGTCGAGGAGCGAGATAGACATGTTGGACATCAGGACCTGCTTCAAAAAGAAATATGGAACGTCTCTTTACACCACCATCCAGGTACTGAAGTTATTATCAACCTTTTTAGGGTTTCTACACGTTCTAAAAGATCCAAACCTTCAGAAGAAAGTAAATATATTTCTCCAAGACGTCCACTCTCTTCACAGTTTTCCCCTGATGCTTTAAAATTGCCCATCGTTCCCTCTGCATGATTTAAAACAGCAGCTGGGTGTTCTACCGTTCTGCTGCTAATACACCATTCATGTCAGTGCAGTGATGGAGTAAAGATTAGTCATTTACTTTAAATGCCTTGTGCAGCGTGATGAGACTGAGATGAGATGCTATTCACAAGAGCTGAAGAGAAATTAATCAATTCTCCCGGGGCCAGATGTTCCTGCAATTGTGAAGAATGATTTCCATCCTCCTCTAGCAGCAGCAAAGACTACAAAAATAATGTCCATTTTATTATAGCAATTATTACTTCAAGTATTCCTTTCATTTTTCACAAGTAGTCATATTTGATAGAGGTATTACTCCCAATGATGCCATTTCATTCATTTCTTATGATTTGCGTCTAATCTCACTGCTTATATTTTAAAATGTAATTCAGGTGTAACTAATAACTGTGGCTGCGCTTCATTTATATTTCACAACCATGGTGCAGTGCATGATGGTTTTCTGCAATTGCACGCTGGCTCCTTGAAATGAGTCATTATTAATGTATTAGTTGCACCTGTGCTTTTCATTCTGTGATGAGGTACCATATTAACACACATCCTATTTGTTAAACGCTTTCACATAAACTAACTATGCTGAGTGCCTGGAAAAAGAGAACGTGTGTAAGCCAAAGTCTGTCGTTTGATGTAATTTAACCCACATTACTAATACTTTACATCCAACATGACATGAGCGCAGAATAACACAAATGTCTGCTTTGAACAGAAACCCTTGTTTTCACCAATTCCTGCTTCCTTACTCTCCACCCACTTGACTGCCAGCTTCTTCCAGATACAATAAGCTTAGAGAAGGAAACCAATCTTCTTCCATTCATAATTATGTCAAATAATTCATAACAATATTACCAGCTGCTGAGTGGGAAAACCAGGCCCCGTCACATCATGTAGGGTTTGTGGGAGAGACACTGAGATTTTAGCCTTTTCAGACCATTTACATCAGGGGTGTCAAACTCAATTTCATCGCGAGCTACATTAGCATTATGGTTGCACTCAAAGGGCTGGTTGTAACTATATTAATATATATAAAATAATGTATTATATTACATTATTGCCTCTGAATTGGATTATTATCGGATAGGGTAATTACTAACTACATTTGAAAGCAGAAGTCCAGGGCAAATAATTGCAAGTCCCTTCAGTGCGCATGTCACAAAACGAGATGCATTGTGGGACATGTAGTTTATGGGCAACCTGCTTCTGTAAAGTGGCATGTAACCGTATAATAAACGTTTATTAAATTATATTCTTTGCAAGCTCTTGCGGGCCACATAAAATGAAGTCACGGGCCGGAGTTTGACACTCCTGATTTACATGGACACAAACCCACTACACACTACAGGGACGGGAACATCTCAAAAGGTATAATATGATATCCGGTATAATATCAGACATTTGCATTCGATTGACCGAATTTAGAAGAACCTAGGTTTGGTTTTGAATCTGGTTAAACACAAACTTCTTAATGAGCTAGTTAGCTACATATTGTTAGCATTTACTGAGCCTGCGTGGGGGCTGTGATGGTTTGAAGGGCGAGGGATTCAGAGATGTGTGACAAAAACATTAATTATTTATATTCATTTGTCAGACACATTTGTGAAAAGCTACAATGACAATTTGAGAAATGTGAGATTCAGTGTCTCAGTCAAGGACACTTTGACATGTGGGGAGGAGGAGCAGACGATCCAAACACCTGAGACACAAACGCCCACACACAGAAAGAGACATTGTGGGCATGGAGGTGTCATTGAAAAAATACCCAAAGAGCATTTAAACAAAAAAGTAAACAAAAAGATTTACTAATACTAAGAAATACTTTATTTATTCATGATTTTGAAACTAACATGTACATGTTGTACATTGCACAAGAGTCAACAAATAAAATGTATTAAAAAAATATATAACGTAAAAAAAATAACAATCAGTAAATGCATCAACAGTAGAACAATTCATATCTATAGAATAAACCAAATAAGTGAGAATAAACTAATAGACCAACATTTTACTCTTTATTAGGATACTACAATATTATATCTTTATTAAACAAGGACCACGCACAAAACTACTTTAATCTCAGAGAGAAAGATTACATGCCAGATTACATTTCCTTCTGCAGTCCCTGAAATTGCACCTATATAGTTTACTTACATTACACAGGTGCCAAAAACTCAAATTAGATTGAAAATAACATGTGATATATTGATCCTGAGTTGATTTAGTAAGTTGAGAGGAACCTTCAGAATTGTATAACATGCATAGTAATCAGAGGTGGGAAATAGTAGAGTACAAATACTTTGTTACTGTACTTCAGTACATTTTTCTGGTATCAGTATTTTACTCTTACTTATTTTTCTGACGACTTTTTACTTTTACTTATATTGTTAACACAAATACCTGTACTTTCTACTTACATCTTCAAAACAGGCTGGTTACTTTAGTTTTAATCTGTTTGGTGGCGGGATCATTATTCTTTAGAGTCATTGCGTGCCTATTGATTTGAACACGATCCGTGTATCCATCATTTCCTGGTCTTCTCTAAAGAAGAGGGACCAATGAAAACGTTGCCGTTGTTCAGCATGGAAACATTCATTAGCTAACAATTACATTATTGTTCTATTAATATAAAGGGAGGTCAGGTACTCTTTAAAACAGATGGTACTTTTCACTTAAAGGTCACATGTCATGGCCATTTCCACTGATCATAATTCCATTGTTGAGGTCTACTAAAATAGAAAAATACTGTGCAATTTTCCAAACTCACATTGGTTTCGCATACAGCATCTCTGTAAAGTATGTGTATTCACTTTCTCCACTAAACAGCTTGTTGCAGCTCTCCACTCCCCCCCCCCCCCCCCCCCCCCCCCCCCCCCCCCCCCCCCCCGTGAGCCCAGTGTGCTCCGATTGGTCAGCTCGGCCCCTCTGTTCTGATTAGTCAACCACCAGAGAGGCTCCGCCCATGTCTAACAGTGCTTTTTCGGCTGTGTAAAAAAAGTTTACTGTCTGAGTATACTGTCTATGAGTATGTTGTGTGTGAATGCAGACATTCTCCTGCTATGAGATACATGTAAGGCATCTGCTGACATTGGAGTTGATATACAGTATGGAAACGCTAGCAACTTAGTTAGCCCTGTTAGCACTGTGTCAATGGCTTAGCAGCCAGAAAAACGTTTATCCATTTACACAGTCGTGGTAGATATACCTTGTTTGTTTTAAACATCATAAATACACAAACAACAATAAATACTTACAGGTTGTGTACCCGAATCTCCCGCTGGTCCAAACAAAGTAGGAACAGCATCGTCCTTCAGTAACCTACGCTGTACATATCCGGTATGAATCGCTCCATGTTTTGTGAAGCTATGCTCCGTGAAATGCCGCGCACACAGTAAAATACCGGCTCGAACATCTGAAGGAACAGTGTTAAAAAGGAATGTCAACCACTGACTTTGTCGTGGTTCTGCCTTCGGTAAGGCATGCATTGAACATTTCCCCTCACAAGACAGGAAACAGACCCTCGTTGGCATGACTGGATACAGTTTTGAACTGAACCTGAGATTCCAACAGTATATGCTAGGCTGGCAGAGGGTGCGGCCATAGCTCTGGGCGTGGCTACTGGGTGCTTCTACGACACAGCACCCAGGAAGTAAACAATGGACAATGACGTTTCACCAACGAGGCGTTTTGGGGAGGTATTTTCTGTTTTAGAGTTTTACTCGCTACAGGGTGTACTTTGAGGATTTTGACTCTGCAGACCGTTTACATGCATAAAAACCTTCATAACACACAAGGGGACGGGTAATAACCGGAAAAGCATGACATGTGTCCTTAAGTACATTTCGAAGCCCATACTTTACTTTTACTTGAGTAAAGAAGTTTAGTCAGTACTTTTTTATAAACACAAGTATCTGTACTTCTACTTGAGTAAAGGATGTGTGTACTTTGCCATCTCTGATAATAATGTGTTGTTTTGCAGGAGGACACAGATGGGGACTACCAGAAGGCTCTACTGTACCTCTGTGGTGGGAATGATTAATGGTGTTTTATGTAGTCTAGCAGCACTGAATGATGAGCTGCTGCTGCTGCAGGACAAAGATACACATGTGATGAGGTTATTGATCTGGAGTTGTTGATTCTTTCTGACGTTGGCTTGCTATTGAATTAGTGTGAATTACCCCCTTGACGTTTTTGAATTATGACAATATACGTAAATCTTCATGAACTGCAGTTAAAGTCTTACATTTGCTTTTGGTTTGACACATACAGAAAATGGCTCAATGTCGTGTAAAGGCTTTGTTTTGAATATAGTCAATAAAGGTAGCTATGTTGAAAAATATAAATATTTGCTCATTTTTTCAACACTTCCTCCTGTTTTTGAATAAAAATGTACAGTTGTTTGTAATACTCACAGCGTGTGTAAAATGCAGCTTACAAAACACAATACTGATGCTGAATTATTAAACGTGACATTTCCACAGCTCTCCTGCTTTCATTAATTACAAATGAACTGCTGACTTGGATTACAATATCGCTGTCAGTGATCAATAAATAATGTGAGACTTTTGGATATTTGTTGAGCCATATAAAGACATCCACTGCCTCGATGTCTTTCTGCATGAAAAGGCTCGATGTCAAACAAATTGGTTCTTTAGAGCAATAGATTTTGTTGGAGTTGAACCACAGGATGGCAGCAAAGTCTGCATTTAACTTAATTCACAGGGACTAAAGACTATAATACCACCTAATTGAATTATGTTTTGTATGTTGCATTTTTGTTTGTCTCTCAATGTCACGTTCTGCTATTTCGAAAAACATATTTTAAAACTTGTTATATAGAAGAAAGAGACGGTTACTGTTAATCTGTGTGGTTCTTCCCGCGTCCAGGAAAGAGATGCTTAAAAAGGAGACTAAATGGAGTCTCTGAGATTGTTTCAAAATTGGTACTTTAATTAATAAAAAGCGTGGTAAAGTCACAAACAGGATATTGTTCGACAGAAAAGCAGCTGTCCCTGGCTCTCGCTAGCAGAAAAAGAGGCCGAACCCCTCAGGTCCGGTTGTTTATATATTCTCTACTGGCTCCTCCCTGCGGGCCGGCTCTCCAACGTTTTAATGTCCGTTGTTACGCATATCAGAGGTACGTACGGAAGAGGATTAGGGCCACATAAAAAAAAAATTTGTGAGGATTTGAAAAAAATATTATTATTTTTTGTTCTGAGAAAAAAGTCAGAATTCTGACTTTAATCTCAGAATTCTGACTTTAATCTCAGAATTCTGACTTTTTTCTCAGAACAAAAAAAAAAAAAATTATTTGGGAGAAAAAAGTCAGAAATACCGGTAACTGTCGAACCAGCTTCACTGCGATTTACACATTGCAGTAGGCAACAATGGAGGACGTGAGTGAATTTCTGCGAGCCAGAGGGGTCCAAGAGGAAACCATATTGCAAATGGAAGAACAAAAGGTGAGTTATAAATATATAAGTGTGTTTTGGGCGTTCGTAAAAACAACGAAAAGGCGTTAGAATATGAAATGCAGACATTGATGAGCTAGCAGCAAGTGCATTAGCTTATATGCTATGGCTCCCCCCATCTAATTCAGTAAATAATGGTTTAGTTCGTTGACACGCAAGTTTGTGCTTGTTGGAACAGTGGCGACTAACCAAGAGCAACAGCCTGGTGGTTTTCATGTTTCTGTAGAGAAGATTTCATTAAGTGTGTTTAACAAGGCAGCTAGCAGCTAGCTGAGAGCCTGACAGCTACCGCTCACCAGCCTGGCGGGGAAAAACCATGGGAAATACATATCGCCCAAACTTCTTTTTGTTTGCCATCATTACTTCAAATTATTTTTGCCTGTAACAGTTTAGAGATCAGTGGTCAAAGTACAACGCAAGGAGGCAGTTGCTAATTATATTCCCAAAATTCGCCCAGTAAAACCCCTCTCGGTACTGTAGCATTGTTACCACAGGGGTTTGGGCCATTGTCCTTGTATCCCACAATCACAGAATTATCAGCATATGAATATGAATCCTGCTGTACTGTCTGAAGGAGATTAAAACAGCAGGACAGTGTTGGTAATTGTATCTAGTATCGCTGCGTATCATGTCAGTCTCTAACGTTAACGTTACTGAAAGCTGCCGTTGGTGGGCCGCTGGCTCTGGCATAGGTGGGCCGTGGACTTTCACAGCGCCGGTACCGCATCCGCCGCCGCAAACACCCGCCGTTGCGAGGCTCTGGTGGCTCCGGCAGGTCCGGTGCAGCGGTGCTGTGAAAGTCCACCGCCGTTGCGAGTCTCCGGCTGTAATAATCCACTTTAAAAACACTTTTAAGGGTTATACTTATGTGAAGGTTATAAACTTTAGGGTAACCAGGGAAACTAGTAGTTTCTGTTTTTTTCTAATAAAGTGACAACAGTACCATCATGGCAAAAACTGGCTTTTTAAGGGTTAATATTCTGAAAATTAATGAATGTTTTGTATTATGAACAGGACTGATTTGGTCTGCGAAATGGCAAAATAGTATATATCTATATATAACGATGTACAAGGGTTGACAATAGTTATACAATGTGCACAAACTTCATTGTGTTTTCTTTTCTTTCTTCTTTGCAGATTGACAGCGACGTCATTGGTCTTATGGATGATGCCACTCTTCAAAAATACATCCCCTCCTACGGAGACCGAATAGCCATCTTTAATCATTGTAGAAGTAAAAGGCCCACATCAAAGCGAAAAAAAGGCCTTTATGAAAGACTGAGGGAAAAAATGACAGTGAGATCGGAAAGTTCTCAAGGAAACGCATCAGGTACAGAAACAAGAAAAACACAGACAAAGAAGCTGAAAGCCACAAGAAATATTGAAATAGGCTGGATTCACAATGACACTAACACAACCAAACAAGTAAGGGCAAAACAAGGAGGTGGCACTAGAAAAATTAAACTATCAACTAATGCTGGTTTGAATGAAATCCTTGAAACAGGAAAGACACTATTTTTTCCTGATGGAATATCACCTAAAGGACCTGAATCAGAGTTCGACTTTGAGGTGTGGGATTTTAAACAAAACTGCCTTACAGCTGAAACATGCCCTTCAATTAGCACAATGTACGAAACTGTGCAAATGACAATGTTGCGATTTTACATTGCCACAAAGCGAAAACCTTCTGCAAACGCTGACAGCGACACAGTTGAAGAGACTTCTGAGTTTAATCTTGTCTCGGGTGAAAAATGACGACTACACAGATGTCATTATTGTTTTGGACGACATACAGCGATCACTAAACATTTCTAGTGATCCTGAAATCACCTTTGGTCCTCATTTCGGCATCGAGGAAGATGAAGAAGACACACTCATATTTGAGAATGTTCCTGTCCCCGCCAGTCCACTTGAGGCAGAGAAACAACTAACAATCACTGTACATCATGCAAACACCCTAGCTGACATGATTACTGCCTTTTCTGATGCAGAGATTTTAAACAAATCATTGAATGTGAGGCGCATTCTCCCAGATAACAAGGAAGAAGCAGGCAGTGGTTCTGGGGTACTGAGGGATGTTCTCAGCTGCTTCTGGCAAGAATTCTATGAGAGATGCACACTTGGGACAACAGTTAAAGTGCCCTACATTCGCCATGATTTTCCTGCTGAAACATGGAAGGCAATTGGAAGAATCCTTTTGAAAGGTTACCAAGATTGTGAATATTTCCCAAACAAACTTTCACTGCCTTTCCTTGAACAGGTGCTGTTTGATAATGTGTACAGTGACCTCAAAGCATATTTTATGCAATTTGTGAGCAGCCAAGAACGTGAAGTTTTGATGCAAGCGCTGACTGATTTCACTGCAGTTGACACTGATGACCTTTTGGAGGTTCTCGACAGCTATGGCTGTAGAAGGAAAGTCAGCGCAGAGAATCTTCCTAAAATAATTGAAGAAATTGCCCACAAAGAGATGGTCCAAAAACCAATGTTCGTTATTGACTGCTGGAGGGAGATTAACCATCAACATCTCAACCTCAGTCCAGAGGCACTGACTAAGTTGTTGTCTGACCTGCAACCCACCACAAAAAAGTCTGCAAACTACTGAAATTTGATGTTGATTTGACTACAAACCAAAAAGAGGTAGCAAATCATCTGAAAAGATTCATCAGAGAGCTAGATGAGAGTAAACTTCAGAAGTTTCTACGGTTCTGCACAGGATCTGATCTCATTGTGACAGACAGCATCTACGTGGGATTTGAGAAAATGACAGAGTTCACAAGAAGACCGATTGCACACACATGTGGGAATATTCTGCACATAGCTGACAGCTATGAGAACTTCCCAGATTTCCGTTCAGAATTCAATGCAGTTCTTGAGAGCAATGTGTGGGTTATGGACATTGTTTAGACTCCAACAACAATAACCAAACCAATCCAAACTGTTAAGAGTTTTTCATGTTCGAAGTAGTTGTGCAGAATTGCAAGTAATGGTGTGCTATACTGTATATTTGGGAAGCACTTCACCAGGACCTTTAATAGTTATAGAGAAGTCCAGCTGGCCAGAAGGGAGCCCATCTTTCACTACACAAACTTGGTGGTGTGTTCACAAACTACAACAAACTTGCATATTGACTATTATTCTCCAGTTGCAGAACACAATCCTGACTTGACAGAAATGTAATTTGTTCATGTAATTCAAGACCTTTTAATACTGCTAAGATGTTTAAGGATTCAAACAAGAACAGTGGCATGCTTCATTGTTCTTATATGGAAACAGACAGTTGTAAAATACAATGTACTGTTTGCTCCCTCTTACTTTTTGTGTACATTGTAAAATGATATGCCACTTACCCAGGTGAATAACTTGTGTAAAAGCATGAATGTGTAACTAACCCCTTATCTGACCATTGACTGGAATATAAAGTTGCAAAGCAAGTGCCTTGTTCAAAGCATACTTGTTTATTTAGAACATATTTTATACTAGTGTAAAAAGTAATTAAGACATGTGCCAGTGCAATAACAATTATTAAAGTATCCAAAAATAAAAGATAGGTTTTGTTGCACACAACAATGCCTGCAAAACAGATGTTGAGACTTAATACAATTTACCTTCAGAATGTCTTTCAGTATCAAAGCAATACTTGCAATCTTAGTAAAAAGCAAACAATTGTAATCATAACTTCTCATAACTAAGATAACTGGTAGAAGACTAGTTCAGTCTGTTTATATGCACATCTGAGAGGTGTGTGTGTGTGTGTGTGTGTGTGTGTGTGTGTGTGTGTGTGTGTGTGTGTGTGTGTGTGTGTGTGTGTGTGTGTGTGTGTGTGTGTGTGTGTGTGTGTGTGTGTCTACTTGTTTAGAAGAACCAACCAG